AGATCTACATAAATTTTAAGCAGTAAGTTTTCTTCATCAAACCTTTAGATCTGCTGTTCATAGGTTTATGTTGAATGTTTGTCTGTGATTTGTGCATATCGAGATCCTCGTGGGTTCCAACACTCTTCTGTGGGTGGAGAAAGTGTCTTGTGGGAAAGAAGACCACAGAAATGGAGGAGGTTATCGTCCTTGAGAAGTACTTCAGACGCAACGGTTTTGGAGTTCCAAACATGGATCCGCTGGTCGAAGAGGGGGTTTGACGGAGGAGCCGAGGCTGCCTCCTTAGAAACGTCCTTGACCCAAGGAATGGAAGGCCAGGGCAAGGGGACGTCAGGTCGAACAAAGATAAATTTATCACTCCACTTGGGGAGGTTGGAGGGGATGTCGTTTATGAAGTGCGCACCATTGCGACTTTTCAGATAAAGACCCCGGCCCAATTTAGAGGGGCAGTAACAATAGTGGAAGAAGTCTAGATCGAATCGACCCAGACGGACGCGGCAGAGAATGATGAAAGTGGTGATAAAACGGATGGCATTAGGAGGAAGTTGGTGTAAAGAAAGCGAGAACCATTCGCAGATGCGGATTATATCAGGGCTCAAAGGAAAACGTAACCCAAGCTTGAACTGGACCTCGAAGAAAGAGTAACAGTCTCGAGGAGGATTATCATATCGGTCGGAAGGGGAAGACCTAATGAACGCCCAACCAAGAGGTTGGCCGATTTTATCGGGATTAAACCAAGGGTGAGATAGAGAGATAGAAGATGGTCGTTCGGAAGGTTTCTTGGTCGAGGACCGCTTGGGTAGAGAATTTGAGGGAGGAGGAATGGTCGAAGATGTGGGAAAAGTGGGCTGAGAAGAAACAACTTCATCCTCCTCAGGCTCGTCCATCGAGCCAAAAGCAGGACGGCGGCGACGGAGAGGCACGTTATCCATGGTATCCCCTGAATTGGAAGAAGCAGCACGAGCAGTGAAAACGCGGGTAGGGACGGTATCACCGGGACGAAGAATAGAAAGAGGGACAGCTTCAAGGGCAGACGGCAATATTTCGACCGAACCAGAGGAGGTCTCAGAGTCTGGAAAAATAAGAACAAAGGAGATAATGTCAAAAAGAAGCTGTCACAAATGAGAAAGGAGGAGAGAAAGAGAGCTAGGGTTTCCAGAAAGGGCAACACCCAAAAATCAAAAAGGGAACTAAAGAGGGGTGGAGACAGAAATTCCGAAACTTTTAAGGAAAAATAAAATCCACAGCACTCAACAACCAGACAAGGATATTGAAAGCACAAATTCAACACAAGGCATATTAATTCGAGATAATTCGGCAGATAGATCAAGGGCACCTAATGTTAAAAATCCCAGAGTACACAAAATAGAACTACAAAGAATAAAAATTCAGGTGCGCAGAGACTTACTCATCACCGAGAATCAACGGCGAGTGGAGGTTCGGAAAAGTGCAAGAAAAATCGCCGAGAAGATGACTACGTTTGCAGAGAAAATTTTTGAGTACAAAGGAGCGCAGAAAGTGTAGAGGTGGAAAAAGTTGAAAATTATGCTAAGTGTTGATTTTATACTTTGGAGGGTGAAAAGGGGGAAAAGACGAAGACCGTCAGATTAAAGTTTGATCGGACGGCGGAAGAATTAAAGTACACGGTACTCCAAGCAGGCGCGTTATACGAAGGGGTGTCATCATTAAAGCGCCTGACACACGCGGACGGGAGGGACGCGTGTCAAAAAAGCAGGAGCGACAGAAGGGATTTGAAACAGACGACTTTATGACTAGAAATTAATGAGGAATTATTCAAAAGAATAGGCGGGAAACCCCTCAGCTGGTCGATATCCGATGGTGGGCCATATAGAAGATCGATAAACATGAACTCACTCTTAGATCGAGTCATACAAACTCGACCAGAGTGGGGGGGACTAGATGATGTGGGATATTATATATACAAGGCCAAACCGATCAACCCAGCCGGTTGAGAAGAGCAAGCTGGGAGCAAGCCAAGCCGAAAGGCGGGAATCCGAGTGATCGAGCCTTAAGGCTCAACCACACAAGCGATCGAGCAGCTTAAGGAAGCGGTCGAACAACCCAAGGCTTGACTGCACAAGCAATCGAATAGCCTGATGCTCGATCAGACTGGTCGAGCTACCCATCAATCGATCAGATGAGTGATCGAGCAAGCTGAGTGATCGAGCAATCTGATCGATATAAGCCCAGACGCGTGTATGGCAGACGCGCGTGAGGGTCTCTGACTGAGCTGCAGGAGAATATTTACCCCATGTGTCGGGTGGACACGTGTCGACAATGTATTGGGTGATAGCGATAACCACCTCTGACAGCGCCCAACGCCCCGCGGCACCTCTGACATGTGCGCGGCGTGTCAGAGCACGGACGGGCAGCTTGGGCAGCCCACGTGGCCTTATCCGGGCAGATATTAGGGCAGGTATCTCACCCCTATATAAAGGGGGGTGAGCCTTTCTTCCTTAACACATTCTATTCATTCTCTAAATTCCAGTATACTCGTACACATACTGACTTAAGCATCGGAGGCTCTTCACCGGACAAAACCCCCGGTGTGAGAGTTGTTTGCAGGTTTCCGGCATTCTTCCGGCAAGGACAAGAATCGATCTACTCTAAACCGGACCCCGACGCTTACACTTGCATTAGGGGATAAAGTAGGGGAAGCCCGAGGGGACCAGAGACTGTCAAGAACCTGTTATCAGATTGCGGTAAGAACAAACCAACGAGCGGAGGTAAAAGAAGGAAAAAAGTCGGTGACAAATGAGAAAAGACGGAGGGAGAATGATCTCGAGCCGCATGGGGAATTGATGGAAATTCAGATCAGAGAAAAGGAGGAGCAGACCACTAAAATAGGGCAAGGGTTGGAAGAGGAATTGTGTCGACAGTTAGTGGGACTGCTGAGAGAATTCAGGGACATATTCGCTTTTTCCCCTAAAGAGTTAACGGGAATCGACCCCGATGTCATGGAACATAAACTCAATGTCGACCCCTTGAAAAAGCCCGTGAAGCAACGGCTTAGACACCATGGTGCAGAAATCGACAAAGCCATAGAAGTCGAGGTGGATGAATTGCTGAAAGCCAAACATATCAAAGAAATTCAATTCCCAGAATGGATATCAAACACGGTGATGGTGAGGAAGGCACTAAATAAGTGGCGTATGTGTATTGATTTTCGCGATTTAAATTTAGCCTGCCCGAAGGACCACTACCCCCTGCCGAGAATCGACCAGCTGGTCGACTCCACTGCTGGCTGTCAATTGCTAAGTATGATGGATGCATCCCAAGGGTACCACCAAATCCCCTTGGCTCCCGAAGATCAAAGCAAAGTTAGCTTCGTGACGAGCAAGGGGACGTACTGTTATGTCGTTATGCCTTTCGGACTTAAAAACGCAGGGGCAACATACCAAAGGTTGATGGATCGAATGTCTAAATCACAAATCGGTCGAAATATGGAAGTTTACATGGACGATATCTTGGTGAAAAGTAGGTCCTCGATCTCGCATGTAGAGGATTTGAGGGAAACGTTTACGACACTAAGAACGTTTGGAATGAAGCTAAACCCGAGTAAATGTGCCTTTGGAGTAAGGGCAGGACGATTCCTGGGCTACGTCGTAACTGAAAGGGGGATCGAAGTAAATAAGGACAAAGTGCAAGCCATACTCGATATGACCCCACCTAAGAATGTTAGAGAAGTGCAAGTCCTGACAGGTCGAATTGCAGGCCTAAGTCGATTCATAGCCCGGGCAGCGGAAAGAAGTTTCCCATTCTTCAGGTTACTCAAGAAAAAAGCTTTCCAATGGGGAGACGAGGCTCAGATGGCGTTTGAAAAATTGAAGGAGTTTTTAAGCAAGCTACCGTTGTTAACAAAGCCGGAGCCGGGCGACGAGTTGGTGCTCTACATCTCGGTGGGGATCTTTTCTTTGAGTTCTGTGTTATTGAGAGAAGCTGAAGGGGCCCAACAGCCGATCTATTATACGAGCCGAGTGCTTCATGGTGCAGAAGCAAGATATTCCGAAGTCGAGAAAGCCGCACTAACATTGGTGCTCACAGCCAGAAAATTGAGGCCATATTTCCTCAACCATGTGATAGTAGTAAGGACAAATTTCCATCTTGGTGAGACACTCGGCCGACCTACATTGTCGGGTCGACTGGTGAAATGGGCGGTCGAACTCAGCGAATTCTCCATCAAATACGAACCTCGACGGGCTATAAAGGCCCAAGCTCTAGCCGATTTTATTCAAGAATGGACTAAAGGAGCAAGCAAGAAATGGATGATGCACGTCGACGGGTCCTCATCAGCCAAAGGATCTGGTTTAGGGGTAACCCTGGTATCCCCTGAAGGCGAACAGCTCGACTTCGCCATCAGAATGGGGTTTAAAGCATCAAACAACGAAGCAGAATACGAGGCTCTAATTAAGGGAATCCAACTAGCAATCGCAGGTGGAGCGACAGAAATCATGGCACATTTCGACTCACAACTAGTTGTGGGGAAGTATTGGGAAATTGCGAAATCAAAGAGGATCGGATGATAAAAAATGTCGAAGAAATTCAGAGTCTAGTACAGGTCTTAGACAGCTTTGAGCTAACACAAGTACCTCGAGAGGAAAACAAGCGGGCCGACTGGCTCGCGAGAATGGCAAGCTCGAACGAGGGGAAGATGGGGAATCATATTACCACACTACACTTGGAAGGAAGTGTCCTAAGTGAGACAATGGAGGTCGATGAAAACCAAGATTGGCGAAAAGCAATTCGCGAGCTGTTACAAGGTCGAGTGCCAGAAGGAGATAAACAGGAAGCTGAAAAAGCAGCCCGGTATTTGAGTAAATATTTTGAGATCGAAGGAGTCTTGTATAAGAAGTCGATGGTCGGGCCCCACCTGCGGTGTGTTTCAGAAAAAGAAGGAGACCATGTCTTGAAGGAGATACATGAAGGTTGTTGCGGGGCACATGTGGGATCGCGAGCCCTAGCCGGCAAAGCCCTTCGAGCGGGCTATTATTGGCCCAATATCCGAAAGGCAGCCGAACGATTAGTACAAGGATACGATAGATGCCAGCGCCATGGTCAAATCCCCCACGTTCCAGCAGAAACAATGACAACGATTAGCTGCCCGATCCCCTTTGCACAATGGGGAATCGACTTGGTAAGCCCGTTGCCGATGGAAACGGGACAGCGGAAATTTATGGTCGTCGCCGTCGACCACTTTAGCAAATGGGTGGAAGCAGAACCTCTGGCAAAAATCACCGAAGACAAAATGATACATTTCCTGTTCAACAATATTTTCTGTCGATTTGGGATTCCAAAGATCTTGATCTCAGATAACGGGATGCAGTTTCATGGAAAGCGGATCCAAGCATGGTGTGTCGACATGGGGATTAAACAGCGGTTCGCATTGGTTGCGCACCCTCAGGCGAACGGCCAAGTCGAAGTGACAAACAGAACCATCCTGCAAGGGCTAAAGAAAAGGCTAGAAAAAGCATCCGGTGCCTGGGTCGACGAGCTGACAACTGTCCTATGGGCCTATAGGACGACCCCAAGAAGTTCAACGGGGCAATCGCCATTCCACATGGTTTACGGAATGGACGCCCTATTTCCCATCGAGGTCGGATTGGAATCTCACAGGTCAACATTCTATGAGGAAAAGACCAATGAAGAACTAGCAAAAGAAGCCCTCGACATGATAGAAGAAACGCGAGAAGAAGCCTGGCTGCGGTCCGTAGAATACAAGCAAAAGATGCGGGCAGCCTTTGACAGGAAAGTCCGCGCTAGGCGTTTTCAAGTAGGAGACCTTGTCCTCAAGCGAATAGATGCTCTTAAACATGTCGGGAAGCTTGAAGCCAACTGGGAAGGACCTTATACCATCACCAAAGTACTCGAGAGAGGCGCATATGAACTCGAAGATGGCGAAGGACGACAGCTGCCGCGATCCTGGCACGTGATTCATCTCAAACGCTTTTACGCTTGAAAATTTCAAACTCTTTTTGTACTGAACAATGGATGATCAAAATCAGTAATACAATCTATCGAGTTTCATGTTTATAATTTTTATATTTCCATGTCAATTTATTACACCTAGAAAAACCAAGTCTCGGAACGGCGGAGAAGCCGAGTAATTCAAACAACAAAAGTTGTATGCCTCGAGCGAAATCTCGGCAAGGCTATAAAGCCCGCGACTGTAAAAGTCGACTCAAAACAACAAAAGTTGTATGCCTCGAGCGAAATCTCGGCAAGGCTATAAAGCCCGCGACTATAAAAGTCGACTCAAAACAACAAAAGTTGTATGCCTCGAGCGAAATCTCGGCAAGGCTATAAAGCCCGCGACTATAAAAGTCGACTCAATCAATAAAAGTTACATGCCTCGAGCGAAATCTCGGCAAGGCTATAAAAGCCCACGACTATAAAAGTCGACTCAATCAATAATAGTTACATGCCTCGAGCGAAATCTCGGCAAGGATATAAAAGCCCGCGACTGGAAAAGTCGGCTCAAACAACTTGCCTCATATAGCCTGTCTACGGCTGCAAAAGCACTAATTACAAAATGTGTGAGCAAAAGAAGCGTCGACAAATCCACAATCGTGTAGTTGAAAGTAAAAACTCGAGGAATGCATGAACAACAACGTTGCATGAACGTTACGACTTAAGCCAAAGATAAAATAAGGAGTAATATATAATTTTTTTTTTTCATTACAGGAGTCGTCTTAACCTTTACAATTTAGAAAATTAGGTTGATCAGAACGAAAATAAACGACAAATAGAAGGCAATAAGCCTTGAAAATACAGCTAAGTTATGACATCCTCGTCGCTCTCCCCGAGGATGGTCACGACCCGATCATCATCATCGGGCCCGACAGGATGGATGGGAGAAGGCAGAGGAGCATCCAGTTGATAGGTGAGCTTAGCCTCTCGAACAACTTTCGCCTCGAGGTCTGTCCACCAGGGGTAGTCGTCCGGAAGGGACGGATCGCCCTCATAACCGTCGGGGTCGGGAATGGCACGCTTCATGGCCGCCCGGTAGAGTTTCCCAGCAAACTCAGATCCCGCCACCACGGCCTCCCAAGCGTCGAAGGCATAGTCGAAATATTGAACAGCGGCAGGGCAGAGCTTGTCGAGGAACTCGGGAGAATTGCAGAAAGCCTTGACGACTTCCTTGCGATACTCACGGACAAAAGCAGCGCCTATGCCAGTCCTCAAAAATGACTTTCGGCCCTGAACAATGCCGATGTCTACCTCATACATGTTCGCCTCTTGAGCCTTCTCAAGTTCAGCTTGGAGCTTCTCCTTGTCATGCAGGGCGACGGCTTTGTCGGCTTTTAGCTTGTCGACCAAGGCCTTTGAATCCTCCAGCTCTTTCTTTAACTGGGAAATCTCCCTGAGCTGCGCCTCGCACTTGTCCTCGAGGGCCTCACTGGAGGAAGTGGGGGGTCGAGTGCCGGCCTTGAGGCCAGGAAGAGCGGCCGCCAAGAACTACACAAAGAAACAAATAATGAAACGCAGAAATACGCAAGACATAATAAACACTTAGGAACAAAGCACATACCCGAACCAGACATTGGGTAGCGTAACAAGAGCGCTCGTACTCATTCCCCTCGACACGAGCCTTATCGGCCTCGGGGAGCACGGAGTGAAGGTATT